TGGATCCATTTACAGCATTCACTCTGACTCATTCCTCATAGACATCCTCTATCTATATTAGACCCTACGCTTATGTGCCATGTGCTGTTTGGACAGCAGTTTTGTGTGTTTTTTTTTAAAATAATTGTTTGATTAAGATATAATTTGTATACCATCTAATTTATACATTTAAAATGTACAAGTCAATGGTTTTTAGTATATTCACGGATATGTGCAACCACCACCACAATCAGTTTTAGAATATTATCATCCTCCCCACCTCAAAAGACTCTCTCATTAGCAGTCGCTCCCCTCCCTCCACTTCTCACCTTCCCCAGCCCTAGAAAACCACTTATCTGTTTTCTGTCTCTATAGATTTGCCTATTCTGGACATACCATATAAATGGAATCATATAATATATGCTTCTTTCACTTAGTATAATGTTTTCAAAGTTCATCTGTGTTGCAGCATGTGTCAGTATTTCATTCTTTTTTACAGTTTGAATTATACTCCACTGTATGCACAGATAGACCATGTTTTGTTTATCCATTCATCAATTTATAGACATGTGGACTGTTTCTACTTTTTAGCTATTATGAATAAGGCTGCTATAAATACTCGTGTACAAGTTTTTGTTTGGACGTAGTTTTCATTTCTCTTAAGTATATGTCCATTATGGACCAGATATGTGTGCCCTTCCCCCCAAATTCATGTTGAAGCCCTAACCCCTAATGTGATAGTTGGAGGTAGGGCCTTTAAGAAGTAATTAGGTTTTGATGAGGTCACGAGGGTGGGACCCCTGTAATGGGATCAGTGTCCTCATAAGAAAAGGAAGAGAGACCAGAGCTTGTTCTCTCTGCTCCATGTGAGCACAGAGTGAGAAGACTCCTATCTGCAAACCAGGGAGAGAGTCCTCTCCAGGAACCAAATCTGCCTGTACCTTAATCTTGAACTTCCCAGCCTCCAGAACTGAGAAAAACAAATGTCTGTTGTTTAAGCCACCTAATCTATGGTATCTTGTTATAATAGCTGCCAGAGCAGACGAAGACAACGCCTAAGAGTGGAACTGTGGAGTCATATGGTAATTCTGCATTTAATCTTTTGAAGAACTGCCAGACTGTTTTCCAAAGAGACTGCACCATTTCGCATTCCCATGAGCAGTGTATAAGAGATCCACCTTCTCTGCATCCTCATCAACATGTGCTGTCTCTCTTTTTTTTTTTCTGATTCTAGTCATCCTACTATGTGCTTCTTCACTATGATTTTGATTTGTATTTCCTTAATAGCTAATAAGGTTGATCTTTTCATGCTTTGATTATTCATATTTATCTTTTTCGTCTCTTCAGATTCTTTGTTCATTTTTAAATTGGGTTACATTCTTTTAATACTATAAAAGCTCTTTATATATTCTAGATACAAGTCCCTTATTAGATAAAGGATTGACAAATATTTTTCCCATTCTACAGACTGTCTTTTCATTTTCTCGATGGTGTCCTTGAAACAACAAAAGTTTAAAAGCTTGATGAAGTCTGATTTATCTAATTTTTCTTTGTTGCTTATGTTTGGGGTATCATATCTATCAAACTATTACCTCACTCAAGATCACAAAAACTTACTAAAGCCCATGTTTTCTTCTAAGAGTTTTATCATTTTAGTGCTTACATTTAGGTCTTTGATCTACTTTTTAATCTAGTTTTTATATATGATATGAAGTAGTGGGTCCAATTTCATTCTTTTGCATGTAGATATCCAGTTATCCCAACACAATAGATATGCTCCCTCACCACTCAGAAGGAGAAGGTTATATTTTAAATTTTAGAATTGTGTATAACCAGTAAATTATTAATATTTGGGACATATCAAGAACTCCTCAATATCAATAAGAAAAAGACAACCCCACAGAAAACTGAACAAAGGATGTGAACAAGTATTTCACAGAAAGGAAAAGGTGAACAGCTTAGAAACATGTTAAAAGATGCTCAATTACATTAGCAATTAGAAAAATGCAAGATAAACTCACAATGAGATACTATTTTATATTCTGCAAATTTTTTAAATCTGACAATAGCAAGTTACGGTGATGATGTGACGCACCACAACTCTCATAATTTATAGGTGGCACTCCAATGTGAAAACCTATTTGGCATCATCCACTAAGGTTCAAAATGCACATACTTTATGACGAGGCTATTCTACTTTTTTGTTTACTATAAACCCTTAGACGTGTGCATTAGAAAACCTATACGAGAATGTTCAAATTGGCATTATTTATTTAGAAAAAAGTCCATTAACGGAGAATGCGTTAATAAATTCTAGTAAATTTATCTAATACATAGTACTATTTATATAAAATTCAAAATCATGTAAAAGTAACAGATATTGTTGAAAATTACTAGATCTAAACCAACTCAGACCCTAGGTTTTAGAACCGGCTCTATGGAAAGAGTAAAAGGCTATGATGGTATGACAGCCATAAAACAGGGTTTAAAACATAAACCCTGACAAGGAACTCTCTGCTCTATATAGAAATAATAAAGATGATCTGGTATAGTCACAGTAAAATTTCTGCAGAAGCAAAAGTACACTTTTAGTAGAGAAAGAAGTCAATAAGAGCTGTATTAATGTACATTCATATATCTACTTATTGAACATGAATCATCTCATTAAAAACAAGTGTTACAGCTGAGTAAACTATTTATTTGCACAAGAGAAATTCATGGTATTCTTATATGCTGGTAAACTACTATGCTGGTAGTAACTCAAATAAAAAAACCACAAAGAAATGTTTAACCATTAAATATTCTAACCAAATGAATAGTGAGAGAGTAAGATTCATTTTGATAAGAGCGAAAGGTCATTTACTCAATACAAACCCATTAATGTGTTACTTTCCACCACAGAAGCAGATTTATCTCCATCTCCACATGCAACCTGATAAGTTTTTAAGTAGGCAGACAGAGATGACGGCAGAGCATTCCGCCAGATTAAGAACCATCCGCATTCAGAACCCCCAGCCCTAGGCATATTGTTTGCTGCTGGTGCTGAGCACCAGTGCTGCTTGGAATAAGCCTTGCAGTTTCTCTGAATCCTAGAATAAAGCACAGACTAAGTAAATGTCACTGAAACATTTCTTCACTTTAAGGAATAATATATATTGAAAAACAGAGACTGCCACATAATTGCAACTCAATAAGAATATTAATTCCCTTTCTCCCGAAATATACGTTACTTTTTATTATAGTTATTAACAATGATTATTAATCAGTTCTAGTGATGAGTCATGAAAATAATATCAGTTGGGAACGAACATTGATAAAGCTTTTTTTAAAAAGTACCTTTTTCTACAGCAAAAGTGTACTTTTCTTCTGTAGAAATTCTGCTATGGCTATAGCCAGATCATCTCTGTTATTTCTATACAGACCAGAGTTCTTTTGTAAATCGGGGGTTGTTTCACCTGGGCATCATACTCCTGCCCTTCTCTTTTCCCCCTTCCCACATAACTAGTGCAAAGGAGAAAAATACGAATCTATGCAAAAATACAAATCTACCAGGCTGTTCCTGGCGAAGTTCCATGTATATGCATGGAAAATAAAGTAATCAGATAAGCCTCATAAATTCTGCATCAGAGCACCTACATCTCATATACACATCCACTCACATAGCCAGTCCTAAAGAAGACAGAAGAGCCCACTGTAATATGCATGAAAAGGCACTGGGCTGAGGACAGGAATCATGGGTTGACGGGGTGCATGTTCACCACTCTGGAACTCAGAGTTTCACTGCTCAATAATATTGATTTGACTAGGATTATTCCATAACTGTCTAATATAAGGAAAACAATCATTATAAACTTAATTTTGAACTTCATTATAGGTACACTAATATCTAAGGTCTTACAATTTCTAAATAATAGATATCAAATGTACTAATTCAAATATCAGTTCATTTAGATTTCAGTTAAATTCTTTGTCATTTGATGTTTGATTTTCCATGGTCTAAAAAACTTAGAGCTAGTAGCCAAAGCTCAAATCTAAATAAATATTAAAAAAAACTAGTTAAGCATCTAAGCAACTTTTTTTGTAACTGACAGCTAAGTCCCTGAATTCCTTAACTAACCAATTAATAATAAACAATATATATAACCTTTGGAATCTATCATCTGAGGTCAATCAAAATATAATATAAAGGCCTTAGATATGTAGCTCTACAAGAAAGAAGGGTAATACAGTAGGTGAATAATAAAATCATAAAAGATATGCCACCAAAAAATATATATGGGTCCTTAGAGAGATTAGGTCAGCACTTAAAAACATTTTAAAGTTAACTATACTAAAAAACTAATTACATATTAATATAAGGTATACCCAAAGACTTCAGAAATATGTAATACTTTATATTATGTAATATATAATTAATATTTTAAAATCTTGAATGTCTACTCCTATGATCCTTTTACTAATATGCAAGCCAGGCCAGATAACATAACCACCAAAATCCTAGAGCAAGCCATATATGCTAAGTCTTCTGGATTCTATAGTTAGTATCTATATACCAAGTGTATGTTTATCAAATTAGAGATACAGAGGCCCTCTAAGAACTCTTCATAGTTCATATAATCACCAGATCTTTCATATAGGTGCTATAACATACCTTCCGTACTCCAGATACTCAAAATATTTGCCAAAAATGAAGCATAGTTTTATATACAAATATATACATATATATATGTGTGTATATATATGTGTGTGTGTATATATATATATATATGTATACGTATATGTGTATGTGTGTGTGTATATATATATGTATATATACATATATACATATATATATATACACACACACACATACACATATATACGTATACATATATATATATACACACACACATACACATATGAATGACATAAGGCTACAATGTGATGATAGGTAAGGGAGAAGGAGGTGTGGGAGAGAAGAAAAGAAATAGAATAACAGGAAGTATCTTCTTTAAAACCTCTAAATGGTAGGAAAGTTAGAAGCTGAAGCACCAAGGAAGCTTCTGTTCACCAGGGCACCTGAAAGACCACACAGATAGGCAGACACTGGAAAGCAACTACACTATGGGCCCAAGTTAGAAAAGATGCTCTGAGATCATGCGATGCCATCTAGAAGCCATGGAAACAGACACCTTGTGCTCTCTGACACATGCTTCTACAGAATCCCACTGCAACTACAAGCTGTCAGGCCCTAAATAGAGACTAATAGCAGGAGCCCAGACCACAACTCAGCTGCAGCCCCTGTAGCACCCTTGGCCTCGCTATACAGCTCTAACAGAAAGCCATATAGAGCCAGTGACCCCAGAGTTGCTGGTGACCTCACAGCCTTAGAATAAGCCTGAAGGGCAGCTCCGAATGCCTGGGCTAGGGAGTCCCCTGTGGACCCATCCCCATGCTGTGCCCTTATTTCCCAGCCCATCTTGTGCTCCCACCCCGAGATGGGAAGTGCAAGGGGTCAGGAAGAGAATGGGGGCTGGGGATCGAGCAGACCACTTAGGGAGCAAACTGTTGTTAACCTCAAGTACTCTGTGTTTCAGTTTCAGTTTAGCTATTGCTTATTGGAAGATCAGAAACATGCTTTCTACCTCAGGCTCAGTTTCCCAATCTAACCAGGGAGATTATCTAAAAAAAATACTCTAGTTACTGTAAGTGCTGTGTTTTGATCAAATATTAACATGTCCGAGGAAACCAGAGAGACCACAGTTAACTGAAATCCACCAATAATCTTGTAAACAATAAAATCTGCCTACTACACCTCTTTTTTATCAAAACAATTTTAAAAAAAGCTCACTGATTTGGACTTGGTTTTCTCTTAACAATATTTCTTCTCCACCATCCACCCCTAACTCCTCTATCCCACTACCCCACATAGGTAGAGCTATTAATGAGAACTGAAACAGCCAGAGATGTAAGAAGGCAAATGCAAAGAACCTGGAGGACAATCCACAGATTGTTTTATCTGCTGCTTAAATAAAAACTTTTCATGCATACGCATTCACGTAGGAAAAGTCCAAATACCTGAAACTGTACAACTGTTTTTGGTAACTTCATGAGAAGATCAAATGCTAAAATTTTCACTGTTTCGAAAGTGCTGGTAAAACACTCCATTAGTGTTTGGAAACGACCAACATCAATATCATGATTCAGCTGATACACGGTTTGGACTTGACCTAAAATAAAATTATTTTTTAGGTGAACAAAAGGAAAAGGAATTCAACATTTTGAAGTTATTTGGCCAAATTTATAGAAAGTTAGTATGAAAATTCACACTTCATACTTTACCCTTTACCCATAATAGTATAAAAGAATAATTTTTCCATTAATTTCCTAAAATGATAAAATAATAAGTGTTATAGATTTCCAAATAGGAAATAAAAATATTTTTTAAAAAGTTGTTTAAAACCACTTCATTCTCTTTCAAAAGGTTATATATTACATTATAGATACCTAATTTACTTTTAAATAAATAAAAACAAGTATATTTTAAAAACCTTCATAAAACTTCTTGACCTAGAATCCAAAGTCCTACCATGTCTTGGTTGAACTGACACTAAATAATCAATATGACACAGCCTAATAAAATTACTGGGCATCAAAGATAAAGAAAGAATCTTTAGGCCATTCAGAAAAAAAAGCTCAATCCACCTACAAAGTGGAAAAAATTAGGCTGGCTTCACTCTTCACCAGAGCAACAGGTAGCGCTAGAAAATACTGAATCAATGCTTACAAAATCCTCAGGGAAAAAAGGTGTGACAAAAAATTGTATATCAAAAGCATATTTCAGTATCAAGTATAACCGCAATACAAACATTTTTGGATGTGTAAGAAATTGAGAACTACATTTCCCCAACTCCACTCAAAGACAGACAACCAAGAAATGAACAAAAAAACTGTCACAAAAGAATGATGGCAGTCACTGAATTCATTTAACTCTAAGATTAAGACTAAATAACCATGGGAATAACGTGTTTCATAGAAGAATGTGAAGAACATTTAACAAAGTAAGCCCTTATAATAACTGAAAACATTCATATGCTTTCTTAATTTGGGGAATGTTATGCAATATAAAACAGGATGTCCGTTTTTTATTTAATCTTAACTCACAAGTTAATACAACCCTGTGAAATTCCTAGAGCAAGCAAATGAAGTTTCTGTCACTTCATTCACACCTCTGCTCAACTTTGCTTCTTCTATTCAAATTCAGATAACCTTTCTTTCTTTCTCTTACCTAATTGTTCTGGCTAAAACTTTTAAAATAGGGAATAGAGGTGATGAAAGTGAGCATCTGTGTCCGGTTCCTGATCTTAGGAGAAAGGCTTTGTCTTTACGGTGTTGGGTGTGGGCTTTTCATGAATGTTCTTTATCACATTGAGGAAGTTCCCTTCAATTCCTAGTTTGCTGAGTGTCTACTTATCATTAGAGTGCTGAATTTTGTCAATGCCTTTCCTACATCAGTTGAGATTATCATGTTTTTTTTCCTTCGTTCTAATGCAGTATATTATATTAACTATTTTTTCTTATGTGGAACCACCGTTACATTGTTGGGATTAAATTCCACTAACCTAGCCACGGTGTATAATACTTTTAATGTGCTTTGGATTTGGTTTACTAATACTTTGTTAAGAATTTTTGCATCTATATTCATAAGGGATACTGGCCTACAGTTTTCTTTACTGGTAGAGTCTTTGTCTGGCCTTTGTATCAAGGTGATGTTAGCCTCACAATGAGTTAGAAAATGTTCTCTCCTCTCCAATTTTTTGGAAGAGTTTGAAAATTGGTGTATATTCTTTAAAAGTCTGGTAGAATTCACCAGTGAAGCCACAAGAGGCTTTTGATTACTCACTCTCTTTACTTGTTACAAATGTTCAAATTTTCTATTTCTTCTCGATACAGTAATGTGTATGTCTAGGAGTTTGTCCATTTCTTCTAGGTTACTTAATTTATTGAAAATACAATATAATACAATTGTTCATAGCATTTTCTTATAATCCTTTTCATTTCTGTAAGGAGAGTAGAAATAGCCCCTTTCATTTCTGATCTTAGTTATTTACGCCTTCTTTTTTTCTTAGGATAGCCAAAACTTCGTCAATTTTGTTGATTTTCTTTAAAAAACCAACTTTCAGTTTCACTGATTCTCGGTATTGTTTTCCTATTCTCTATTTATCTTAGTTCTAATCTTTATTATTTCCTTCCTTCTACTAGCTTTGGGTAAAGTTTGCTCTCCTTTTTCTAATTCCTTGAGGTATAAAGTTAGGTTATTGATTTGAGAGCCTTTTTTTTTTAATGTAGGCATATACAAGTATAAATCTCCCTATGAGCATTTTTTTTTTTTTTTTTTTTTGCTTAATCCTATAAGTTTTGGTATGTTATGTTTTTGTTTTCATTTCTCTCAAAGTATTTTCTAATTTCCCTAGTGATTTCTTCCTTATCTACTAGTAGTTTAAGAGCTCTGCTCAAATATGAAGCCTTCTCTGGCACCACTGTATGGAACAGCTAGCACTTCCCATTCTCTCAGGTACTCTGTATCTCCCTCCAATTCTCCTCTTGAAATATTTTTTCATAGTACTTACCTCCATCTGAAATTCTATGTATTACTTGCTTCACTAAAATCTAAGCTCAAAAATGGAAAGCACTTTGATTTGTACACTGCCTATCCTTGGCTGCTTGACATATTATAATACTAAATAAATATTTGCTGAATAAATCCCTTTAATCTGATTGTGGAATCTAACTTTTCACCATGAATACTGTGACATTTCATTCCAAGTAAGAAAGATGCATGTGGCTTATTCTTCTTGAATTAAGACATTCTCGAGGGAATGTAGAAATCATTTTGATTAATCCCAAATCACAGTCCTTCTCTTAAATAAAAACCCACATTAAAGTTCTTGAGATAAAGATAGAATGAATATACATTTCTCATGCTGTATTTCTAGATCTTGCCTCGTCAGCCTCCTTTAAGGTTAATGGGTATAGTACAGTTTGCACCATTTGCCTTACCTCCCAGTTGTTTAATTAACCTAATTACTGTGACATCAGTCACTGCCCAATTATATGTGACTCATTCATTAGGAAGATGACTCAGGTTTTTCACTTTTAAAATACATTTAAATATATTAAACTACTCTCTCAATTGAAAAATTACCAGTAATATTCCCCTATGCTGAGGTACAACTATGACTACATTAAATGTACAGAAAACATTTCGTTAAATAGATAAAACGGATAATCAATCTTCTCAGGTAAAACCTTACTGCCTAAGTTCAGTTGTAGTGTCATTGAAATTTTCTAAACTGATGAGAATTGTAACAAATTACCACAAACTTGGTGGCTTAAAACCACAGAAATCTATTCTCTCACAGTCCTGGAAGCCTGAAGTCCAAAATCAAAATGTTATGAGGGCCATACTCTGTCAGGGCTCAAATGGAGAATTATTCCTTGTCTCTTTCAGCTTCTGGTGGTTGCCAGGATCCCAAGGCCTACAGTCATATCACTCCAATCTCTACTGTCACAGTGATTCCTCTTCTATGTGTCACATCTCCCTTTGCCTCTCTCTCTTATAATGACACTTCTGATGGCATTTATCCATACAGATAATCCAAATTATCTCATTTTAGGATCTATAACTTAATCATATCTGTAAAGACTCTTTTTCTGAGTACGGTTCACATTCATGGGTTCTAAGGATCTGATGTGAATATCTTTGAAGGTCATTTTTTGGCCTACTACACCTACCTTAATCAGGTGATCAAATTTATCATCATGAATAATGGGACAAGCCATCATCATGTATGTCCTGATATGGCATCCTGAGAAAAACACATCGCTTATGCAATATTCCTAATAAAAATGCATGACCTGAGTCAAATCATGAGGAAACAATAAGACAAAGTGAAACTGAAATACATTTTTTAAGAATATTAATATCATAAAATAAGGTACTTTCCACATTAAAGGAGGCTAACGAGACATAACAAAAATGCAATGTGTGATACTAAATTGGTTCCTGGATCACGAGAAAATTTGTTTTCAAAAAAGGCCATTTACTGAAACAAATGGCAAAATTTGAATATGGATTATATATTAGATAATAGCATTGTATCAACATTAAATTTCCTGAATATGATCACTGTGTTATGGTTTTAAAATTAATGAGAGACAGAGAGACATAGTAAATACAGCGGGTTCTTGAATAACTTCATTTAGTTCAATATCCCTTCATTATAACATTGATGAGGGGAAAAATAATTCGATCCCTGGCCAGGGCCACTGTGTAGAGCTTGCATGTTCTCCTCATGTCTGCATGGTTTTTCTCCAGTTACTCCAGTTTCTTCCCACATCCTAAAGATGGGCATGTTTGGTGAATTGGTGCGTCTAAATTGTTCCAGCCTGAATGAGTGTGCATGAGTGCATCCTGCAATGGGAAGGTATCGTGTCAGGGTCAGTTTCTGCCTTGTGCCCTGAGATATAGGGAAGGGCTCAAGGCACCCTCAATCCTGAATTAGAATAAGTAGGTTGGAAAAGAATTATCTTACTTGTTTTTGTTAATCTTTCTTAAATGTATGTATAGCTCACATTTATTTTGATGTTTAATATTAGAAGTGTTTCGGGTCTTTATTTAGAAGTTCTGTGATGTTTCTGTGACCAAAAATATGCTGTAGGAACTTAACTGTTGTTTATATCAATTAGCTTGTGGTAAAACTGGTTTCATTATACGTCGTTTCACTTAAAGTCCCAGTTTCTAAGAACCCATTGACACCATTAAGTGACAACTTACTGTGTGGCAAAACATAAATAACTGATGAATCTAGGTAGAGAGTACATGGCTGTGCACTGAATTACTCTTGAAACTTTGCTACTGATACGAATTTTTTCAAACAATAGTTGAAAAAATGGTTTTCTTCAAATGAAGCAAGCCTATATTAATATCAAATAACTCTCTTCCCCACCAAAAAATTATACTTTGCCTAAAAATTTAAAAATGGCCACTCTTTCTGAAAGAGCAGCTGAGCTGGATATTTTTCTGTTTGACCATAGTCAAGGAAGACTGAGCACAAACCAAAAATCAAATTAAAACACATGTAAACTTACATATGGAGATAAAAAGAATCATTTCTTGTCAAAAAAGGAAAAAAACAACTCAAAGGGAACTTAAATGTTCAGCCTCTTTGAGTATCCCACACAAAAGGCATCATTAAATCAGAATGCCTGGAAATGATATCCTCATATAGTCTTTCTGAAACCAGATCGAGACTTATGAAACAGCATAGCATGTAAAGGGAAACCACATTTTAACCACAAAGATTCAGTGAGGAATGTTATACATAAGAGAAACTTTTTTTTTTTTTAATTTTTAAACTTAAAGAACAGATTGGGCACTATATTAAAACAGTAACATATAAATTGGGGCAGGATGAGAGCAGCTACTCTTCTCATAATAAGCACAGTCCATGAAAATTGTAGTTTGGGGCTGGCATATAATGATAACTGAAACAGTTTCTCTCCCTTATTGACAAATTTAATTATGTCCAAATAAAAATTACATAGTGAAAACCTCCCATAAGAACCTAAAAAGTCAACAAAACTTGAACTTCAAGAAAAACAAAATGCTGAAAAAGTATGTGTTTTGTGAGGGAAAAAAATACTTTTCCCAAATATTATTGTAAACTTACCTTCTGGGACAGGAAAAATTTCAGCTATTGAGCCTAAAATGGTTAAAGCTGAAAATCTAGTTGGATAGGAAGAGCCAGGAAACAATGCTTCAAAAAGACTGTTGCAAATGGATGACATGAAATTCTAAAAAAAAAAAAAAAAAAAAAGAAAAAAATTACAATAAGTATAACTGAGTGAACTCACAATAGTTTTTCTTCAAAGTATTACCTTTAAGATTGGGGTTCTTTTTCTTTTAATTAAGAGAGAAAAGATTTTTTTAAACAATATTAATTGTTCACTTCCCTTGACAATTTTGATTAGCACCTTTGACCATGAGTAATATCGTAACTTTAATGAACCCCATCTTGGTAGATTCAACAAGAAGTACAATTCTTATCATACCCCACACAAGAAAAAACACATTCTTAGTGAAAGAAAGATGTTCTTCCCTGACTTATGCTAAAGCTATATGAATACTGATTTTCTTCATCAGAGGCATTCAGGCATCAAAGGTATGTATACTTTTTCAGTTTTAAAATGACCAGAGAAATATCCAATATATACTACACGGTAAATTTGGTAAATGTAATACTTAATAAATTTGGCTATAATGATATAATTCATTAAAAAATCCAACTGTTCCATTGTCTTCTATCTGCCTCTTTGAGACTCCTGCTCTACCATGCTACTTATACAAATGATAAAAAATGAAAACTTTTAGTAAAATGTAATTTTTTTTTTAAAAAAAAGAACAAAGTAGAAAATACTTTATTCAGGATAGTATTCTTTCTCAAATTAAAAAATAATCATTATTATTATTATATTATTTTTATTTCTGTGTAAGAGCAAAGAGAAAAATTATAAAGAAAAGTTGTGATTCTCAAGCATCTTGTATACCACTATGCCCTGACAACATTTATTGGTAACTGAGAAGCATAAAAGCAGTCCTAGTCTCAACTGATTCTGTATAGGATCCCTGCATTCATATCTTTGGTCAAGGACATACAACTGTGGAGATTTATCCTATAGGCCCTTACGGGCCCTAAGTAAGAGTTTATTACTTTATTTATTCTGTTGGGTTTCAAAGGAATAGGATAGCTTTCGAAAATATCTTATTTAAACTAGTTTTAATTATAAATAAGTAGCATAATAGTCACATTAAAGGACAACGAGTTTATCCTTTAAGAATGATTTTATCCTAATTGTAGTATCACATATTTTTAGATAACAGTTCTTTCTTTCAATCAGACTATAACCACCATAAAGGCAGGATCCCGAGTCCTGAGCACACTGTCCTACGTACACAGAAGGGGCTCAATATATGCTCTAGTCGCTTTTAACGGCTCCTCATGAGGCTTCCAAATATCTTGGCCTAGCATTCAAAACTCTCTACTACCCAGCCCCAATTTGATTTTCTAACTCCTTTCCTATTACTCACTTCCTCTGTTCCCCCAAGTATCTTATATGTCATTCACACCAGTGAATTAACCATTCCCCAAATTCTCACTGCACTTTCTTATATCCAGGCCTTCACTTAAGCTGGTACTAAGGAAAAAACTATTCAGATTTTGGAGTCAAGAGCAGATCTGGAGCTACCACTTACCAGCTGAGAGATCTGGGGCAGGTTACTTAATTTTTCCAGGCTTCAGTCTTCTCACTGTTAAGTGGGGATAATCAGGCCTATCTCACAGCCTTGTTATTAAGGGTTAAATGAGAACATGGATATAAAGCATTTTGTAAACTTAAAAAGTACTCTAGCTATTAATATCAGTTATTTAGGTATGAAATAATCTTTCACTGGACTTCAAAAGCTATCTTTCCAAATAGCCTCCCCTTCTTCCCTGGCCCCTAGTCTGCAACTGGCGTTGAGGCCACCACACTGTGCATGACACTCACTGTTACTGTTATGTTGATAACAGAGTGCCAAAGTCACAACCTCCAGAAGCCACAAGTGACTACAGCTGGGAGAAAATATAAGAACCATGAGACTGACTCAATAGATTAGGACTCTAAAGACTAGTTTTCAAAAAATATATGTCCATAAGCACAAACTAAGGAATTACACACACATGACAATTCAGAATGTCAATCCACAAAACAGGTTTTGTGTTTCTAAGTACCCAATTCAGACAAAAGTCATTTTACCCCTTGCAAAAAAGAAGCAAGAGATCTGTTTTCTAAATCAGCTAGCAATGATCTAAGAAAGGCTAAAAAATAACTGTTCCACACACACTAAATGGTCAATATACACTCTAGTCAATTTTAATGACACCCAGCGTGGCTTTTTACGAGTGATTTAAAGTTTACAAAGAGCTTTTCTGTTTAATCCTCAAAACCAACCTTTCAGAGGTTACTAATCCTACTTATAATTGAATAGACTCATAAACTAAGCCAACTAGACAATGGCAGAATTAGGACTGAATCTATGTCCTTAAAGATTAGGTTGTGACTTTCCAATTTTTATTGTTAGGATTTTATGAAGATGAAGCTGACTTCAGCTTTTGTATAAGAATATTCTTATTTAGATGATTTTTTTTATCATTCAAATACAAAACTGAAAACTAAGGTCCATCCATACTAATGTTTAAAGTAGGTAGTGAGTATATTATGACTCCAATGTATCATTAACTTATACTTGTTTCCCTAAGTGAAATAAAACAGATGAGCTCTGTCTTCTATTCGGGTGTTACAAGAAAATAAGAGTACTTCTGAGAGGCTAGAAACCAGTGTAAAGCTCATTCTGTTCTCATGGACAGAAACTGAAGGTCGTCAAGCTGACTTTAGGCCCAGATTGGGACTAATGTATCTGGGGTTCCATCCATTCTATTGACATAGTATCCCGAAAGCCAGCCTTACTCTTCAAGTGCACTCCAAAATGGAATAGACAGAAACCTCCATAGCTGGACCACATGAAAGGAGTCAACATTAAGCCACTGTAAGTCATGTCACTCTAAAGAGGAAGTAAGCCCAGACATAGTCGTCTTCCATCCTGGGGAGGAGTGGAGGAGTTCAGGGCTGGCAATTACCTTTTTATTAGAGTACTAAATTCATCTGGCCCACATAAGCTGTAAATTATTGAGGCTAACCGATTAATATTATTCTGTAATAGACCTCCATTCCAGCATTGGTTCCACAAGTCAGGCTACCTTAAGTGAAGTACCAAAGCACCAGAAGGAATATGTAAAACCCAGCTCGAAGAAAAGAGCACAGAAACTCTACTCATTAAGAGACTTTTATTTATTTCCCTTTAATGCTTATTCATAATTGTTTTAGGTTTCTTAAAACTCTACATGTTTAGAAATATATCACCTACCTTATATTGCTGTAAAGAAACAGATGGGTGTTGTCTGGTTAACTCATTTTCTGGTTCATGTTTAGATTTACTTCGCTCCAGTTTAAAAAGTACCTGAGAACTTTCCCGTATCCTACAAAACAACTTTTGAGAAGAAGAAAAATGAAGCATATGTGAGCCACGTTAACCTTAAATGTCAGCCTACAAGGCAAAGGAAGAACTTTTTAAATTCCTTAGACTAAAACTTCAGGCAATTCAGAGACTAATGTTTTAAAACTTAATATTTAGTGTTTCTTTTTGACAGAAAATTAACATTTATATTTTTAAAACCAAAACCAAAATATTACTGCAAACCAGAATACAAGTCATTAAACCAGAGTTCTATTTCCTTCAAGTCAGTATGAACCTAAGATGATATACTCACTTCTATACTCTATTGATTCTTCACCCATAAATGTGTCATATGATTAACTGAAGTTGAGTAATCCAATAATGACTGTTTCATGAGGCACTTCAAGAAACTATAAAAATACAAGGACATCCTTCCTCCTCTTAACCAAATTTTCTTAAAATAACTTCACTCTGAAAACCCACCACTAAATTTCTTTCCTTTAAAAAAAAAGAGCTCCAGTTTGATTTATTACACCAAAATGAAAGGACTTTACTCTCAAATATAAACTTTATGGAATCATGGACTAGCTCACAAAAGGATCATGAAGAGATGTGGTAGTTCAAGCCCATGACCATTATTCTCACACTCTCCCAAAATCTGGGCTCTTTTTATAAATGATTTCCAGAGCAAAGTTCACCACTTTTCCTATACTTTCTAATGAGAAATTCTACCTTTTTAAGAAGAGAACAAATCTGTTGCCGAACTCCTGGAGACTGGCTGTTAAGATTGTATGTGATAAAGAATTGAATCCACTGCATTTCTTCTGTGGAAACGATTTCTGTGCTTCGATTACTTTCACAAAGCAAGCCTAATGTATCTATCCGTACCTAAAACACATCAAGCAATAAAGTGTTAATTTTTCAATGAGGTGAAGCCTAAACTACTTGACATGATTAATTATTTATATAGGCTATCAAAGGAAAAAAAACAGTAAACCTCAGTTTACCCATATGTCCTTCATAAAGCTCCTTTATCCCAAAGATCCTGTGATTACTTCTTGTAAAACTATTTTATCAAATGTGTAAATTGGAAATTCATAAAAGTTAACAATTGTAAAGACTCCTATTCCACAGTAATGGTCAACGTCAAACTTTTTCTTTTTTCTCGGTTACCACTTCACCCCAGGACCTCATCACCTCACTGAGACTGCTGTCACACACATGTAATTGGTCTCCTGGTTTCTTTTTGCTTCCATAAGGCAAACTAATCTCTGTGTCCATTAATATCACTTCCTTAATGAAGGCAGAATGGCTCTAATTCTCAGTTACCAATAGAATAAAATTCGGCCTTCAGCCTAGTATTGGAAGCCTCCCTAAAAAGGATGAAATACTCCACTACAGATAAATAATGTCTTTAATCATTCCCCAGACTTTATCTTTTTGTGCCCTTCTACTTTCTGTGCTGCTCCAATGCTTCTTCTCCTCTAATCACATTTATCACTTCCTAATCAACCACCACTACTCTGATCAGTCTCTTCTCCCGAGCCTCCTAAGTCCTCATGGATAAAAGGACACTTGTAGCTGTATTCTCTCCTAAGAGTTTCCAGTTGTTTTATGTAGATTTTCTTATTCTCTCAAATAAACTTTAAGCGGCCTGAGTACAAGGTCTACACTTTTTACCTTCTATTCACACTCATTATGGGCCCCTTAAAACAGTGCTGGGCATATCAGATTGCAAAATGAATAGATAAGTTTGGAATCTACTGCATGCATGAATTCCCAGCTATTGTTTACTTACTTGGCAGTGCTGATGAATTAAGCCCTGCTTTATTTTTGCACTGGACACAAGATTCCCCCAGGCATCAGTTGCAGACTGAAGATGTCCATGAGCTCTAGCTGTTCGTAGACATGCCATCAATGCTCCCAGAGCCCCTCTACTACTATAAGACCCTAAAGATGGAAAAGATTACTCTTGTCTCAAAAGCACAATAACAAAGACCACTACTGTGCTATGTAACAACTATCACAATATTCATGTTTATAATTAATATTATATTTTAATAGAAATCATATTTTAAATGAAATTCTAACATGAGTTAAAGTTCCTATTATAAAATAATCATTATTTAAAAGATTTAACAGTTCTTGTATCAATCATTTCAAGTAAGCATAATCCTCTACTGTTAACTTAAAGAAACAATTTTTGGCTCATATTTTTACTTTTTCCTTGACAGAAAAAAATTAGGAAGTGAACCAGAAAAAAAAATAATAAATCAGGTGGAGAACTATTTAAAACAATAAAAATAATTAAAATGACTTTCAGCCAAAAATAGGAAAAACACTCCAGTGGCTAAAGACCATTACTTCTCTAAAAATGAACACACTGAACCTCTCTGCATATTCTGGAGTTATTGCTTCTCTCTAGTAAAGAAGATAAAAGGAGGACCACAAAGGACATGATGCTTTCGGTGGCTACAACATCAGCCATTACAAAGGGGAAAGGAAGCTCTGGCTTGCAGGGCACCTTGATATAAAGGTCTTACTTCTGCCTTACTTCGGTACAGATTTATGAATCTTGAACTTCACATGCCTTCTCAAAAGGCAAGAGCAATTATTAAAAATTATAAATAATGGCTCATTTTTTTGTATAGGAATCAAATTTTTCAGCTATCTCATGGTTACTCTTTGAAGTATTGAAAGTTTTAAATTATTTTAGTTGGAAAAATTCTTAAAATGTGATACAGGATACCATATTCCTGCTTTGTTAAACAGAATATAATAATTTTAAGATTTTCATGATGAGCCAGGGTCATAATGTTCTATATTACTGAACTATGCTTTAACGCAGTGATTTCTTCAGGGTTACTGAGTTTCAAGAGAATATTTACCCCTATTCTAAATGACTACAGACAGCTGTTTCTTGACATCTTGCCTCTAAATTTTGTGTGTCTTCTCTAGAGGCAAAAACTTGCTACTGACTATTTACTTGTCTTCAACTTTGCCTAAAACAGTTTTTAATTACTGTTTCAATCACTTCAATAAGCAAATTATACAAAACACACAAACTTTTGCTCCAGTCTAACAACCAAGTAACAAATAAAAACTCGGTAAAATTAATTAAAACCTAGTACAGTAGTTTCACCTTATCCAGTTTCCCTTTCTACAGTTTCAGTTACCTACAGTCAACCCTGATCTGAAACTATTAAATGGAAAATTCCAAAAACAAACAATTCCTAAGTTTTAAATTGTGCACTGGTTCTGAGTACCATGACAAAATCTCTTGCTGTCCCTTTCTGTCCTGCCTAGGACATGAATCATCCCTTTTCTCCGGGGTCTCCACACTGTAGCAGTCCCTAGACGCTCTCTGCCCATTAGTCACTCAGCAGCCACCTCGGTTAGCAGATGGACTGTCACTGTACCTCAGTGCTTGTTCAGATAACCCTTATTTTACTTAATAATGGGCCCAAAGTGCAGGAGTAGAGACGCTGGCAATTGGATGTACCAAAGAGAAGCCATAAAGTGCTTCCTTTAAGTGAAAAGGTGAAAGTTCTAGACTTAATAAGGAAACAAAAAGACTAATCTATGCTGAGGTTGCTAAGATTTCAGTAAAAACAACTCTTCTATCTGTGAAATTGCATAATTTGTAAGTTAAACCTTATCATAGGTAAGTATACATAGGAAAGAATATAGCATATATAGGATTCAGTACTATCCACAGCTTCAGGCATCCACAAGGAGTCTTTAAATGTACCCTCCATAGATAAGGGGGGACTACTGTAATAAAAGAAACCTCATAATCACAACTGGAATCATTTCTTAGCTTGTAGAAATGACTTCAGCCAAAAAACCCTATTCAGCTATGTACAGGAATATTCGTTTCAACTTAAAATCTCTATCATTAATATCCTCCTTTATTATGTAAATTTGAATATTGTCAACATCTACCCGGGTAACTACACTTAAATTCCCTAACTAAAAATTATGAAAACAAAAACTCATTTTCTTACCAGTTTTAGCATCAGCAGATGCCTGAAGAATCTGTACCATGTAGCTTAAGCTTTCAGGGTTGCAATTCAATAATTTTGGCAAGTAATAATCAATCACATAAGATTTTTGATCCAGAGTTCCTTCACACAGGATGTAAAGGAGAGGAGAAACCCAAGTCTCATGCCACTCATCAATCCAAGCACTGTCCACAGCCTGAGCTTTCAAATGACTTTTATGATTTTTAAACATGGTTTCTAAGAGGTCACTTGCATAAGGTACTAGTGACTGGTCCCCCATCACTTCTAAGATTTGTGATGGAATAGTTTTAGCTAATGCCAGAATATGTTTAACTCCTATGCAATCTACTAAACAGCCAAGGCATATGTATTTTCCTTTAATATGCCATTCTAATTGCAGAAGACTCTCAGTCAGTTCAAAAATGAAACGATCAGCAGCCAAATTTGACTCTTCTAAACCTGACTCTCCTACAGTGAGCTGGTGTATTTGGAGAATATTTCTGAATATGATTTTGGTTTGGTGTCTCAAAGCATCCAATGGATGTTCCCAGTGGGTATAGACATATTCCAAAAGTTTTCTAACTATGCTTGAATTCCCATTCAGACTGTCCTTTAGGCTTGAGGAACTTGATTGCAGGACATATATGGCCGAATTAGTCCAAGATGCCAAAATTCTAGACAGAAACATTTCCAGAGTTGATTCCTTGATCCTGAAGAAAAATGAACCATATTATTACACCATATTATTATTATATGAAATTTCATTTTATAATAATTTAAACTTTAAAAATATAAAATATACAGAATGATCAGAAAATTCAATCATTACCAAATTTACAACAAAAAATTACAAACAGGCCAAAATAGATATCAAATTTATATGTGAATCTATTCATCTTACAAAATATAATCCAAAAAGGGACACAAGGAAACTTTTGGAGAGTGATGGAAATGTTCATTATTTTGATTGTGATGTTGGTTTCAAAAGGATTTTAAAACATATGAGGGGCTAGGGTTGGGGAAAACCCTGTAAATTATATCTCAATTCATCTGTTATAAAACAACACAATGAAGAATAAATTTTCAATAAATGCACGATTTAAAAATATGTGCAATTTTAAAATATATATAAACAGAAAAACATGTAAAATTCATTTTAGAGCATTATAGTTTTCTTCCTTTATGTACGTGTTCATTATTATCAAGCTGTATCTATAGTTTGACATTTTAAGCACATGATCACTTTCAGGCATTATGGCAAAAACACCAAAAAAACCCACAAAATACAACACAATGAAGTCAAAAAACCTAATTACAATTCTGGCTTGGTTGCTTATTAGCAATACGCTCTTAGGTTAAAGTATTTACTTTTCTAAGCTTCACTTTACCCATTTGACAGATTAGATTTACTATCCTAACCATCAGACATGTAAGGATCACATTGCACTACCTATGATGCTGTTCATAAACTCCAAAGTACTATACATATAGAAATCTTTAGTTTTTTTTTAAATGCTAGCATCTGAGACAATTTTAAAATTAACTTTAGAAATGTTCACTACAGGTTAACTTCCACCAATAATTTCTATAACTCTCTCCCATCATCCCATTTTTTTCTTATTCTACTGTCACACCCACTTCATTCCTACACATAACTTCCTTTTAATTTAGGTTTATCCTGACCACTTTTCATTTAACTACTAAGTATACTGGCTCGGTTGTCATCTTTTAAATGTCTGACAAGCAAAACAAAATATGAGACTGGCAGTATCAAAACTCACTGTGAACTCAAGGTGAACAAAACGTGCACAGTATCCAAGAGCAGGGCCTCCCCACTTGGGCCCATCCCCCCATTCTGCCAGTCCAACATGGTGAGTGTCCCCTGACACAGGAATAAAAGAGCTGACTCGGAGACATCAGCACAACAAAGGCTCCTACAGCAGTTCAAAAACCACTCGGGGATGCTCGTGCAGTCCACTGAACGAAGAAGCAAACTGCTAATCTGAAAATATAATAGAGTTAATATTTATAAAGCCATCTAAAACTTTTCAAAGATATTTCAAAATATAAACCCAAAATTCTCTTTCTCCTGAAACATCCTAAGAAAAATAACTGAATCTAAAGATGAAAAAGCCACAAGTGTTAAAATTATTATAACAAAATCTAAGTACATGTACCATTTGGCTGGTTTGAATGTACTGGAAAAGCACAACACATCGCCACCTGCAGGTGGATGAGCTTAACTAATGCTTTTAAGAGGTGATTTAGAAATAAAATTTTTAATTTTATCTAATGGCATTACTTTGTGTGATGTCACAGAGTAGTATCCATATAATTTGCATAAAGTCAGACAAAGAGCTAAAATAAGTTTCTAGATAATACAGTTAGGAAAAAAACCTGCTAGAAGGAAATACAAGGATTGTGGCCCAAATTATACTTTCCATATAATCAAATTCATTGAACAGTTAAGTCTAGCATGCTTCCTGTCTAAAGTATAGTATTTGGGTTTTTCTTAAAAAATATGTTTATGAAAAAGTTATTGCTCTATATAACTGTATGTTAATCTCTGTGTAAATTTAATATTACAAATATCTTTTATTATACTGAAAGATGGAACTGAACAAATGGCACTAGAAAAAAACGAGAAGGATATACCAAAAAATGTTGATAATAATTATCTCTGAAATGAATTTATAGGTGACTAATATCTTCTTTCTGTTTCATTTGAATTTTGGGAACTGTCTCATGTATGAGAAAAAGTCATCAGAAAGATTGACTATGCAAAAAAAATTTTTATTTCACTTCTTTAAAAATATTTTCAAAACATGTCAAACTATCAACAAAATACAATTCTGAAAAAGAGGTGTACTCACCAAATTAGGAATCTTTTCAGGTGGATGAAACATAGCTTTAATAAAAAGAATAACAGTCAACCCAGATGTACTCTGAATTGTCTGTAAGAGATTATCTGTTTGGAAAAAAAAAAAAAAAAGAAAGCATGTATTAAACGATGATGGATATTCTAGTATAGGGGAAAGAGCAGACATTGCAGGGTCAGACAGTTCTGCATACAGTTTCTAGCTTTACCACTTTCTAGGTGATTCTTGGGCAAGTTATTTAACCTCCCAGGGACTCAGCTTTCTCTTCAGTAAAATGAGAAAATAAAACTGCCATTTTTGACATAGTTGTTATAAGGTTAAATGAATAATGAACATAAATGCTTTTCTGCCGAGCACATAAATACTCAATAAATGTGATTCCTTCCTCTCCCCTCTAACATCCACTCTCTCTTCCTCGCCATCTATAGCCACCCAGCACATTTAGCAGCAACATCACCTATTCCCGTCCCTCTACTGATGCCTCTGCATCCCAAATCCCCTACATACATTACTTTTTCTTGAAGTAATTTCAAGGCTTGTGTAAAAAGCCCACATTGGTGCTAATTACAAACTCTGCTATTGTTGGCAATCTTGACTTGCTATCTTCTTTCTGTTTTCCCTCTATTAGCCTCTGGTTTGTCAGAAAGTACGCAAAATAATATGGTAAATTATTCAACCTGTCATAAGAATTATAAATGCCTACTATAAATTACCTAATACCTATCCATTCTGTCCTTTATCAATGCTCATAGAACTATGACTTTGACAGGGACATCCATCTGCCCAGCCAAAGGAAGGATAATTGCTTCCTCAATCTTCCTTGCAACTAAAGATAGCCATATGAGGGTTCAGGCCAATGGGATGTAAGCAGAAATCTCTATTGATTTTCCTGATTAAAAGTAAAGATGACACTGGTCCTCCTTTCTGACTTGAACAGAGACGTGCTGTCTGAAGCTATGGCAGTCATATGACAACCATGAGGCAACAAACATGGGTGAAAGTCAACATGCTTAAGATTGCAGAGCAGAAAGGCAGAAATGTGTGGGTCCTAGACTGCTTACAGTAGTTCTAGATCGCCTGGCTCTGAAATTCTTGTTATGCGGGGAGGAGGGGAGGCACATTTACTTAAGACCTTGAAGTTTGGTTTTCTGTTGCTTACATGTAAACACTTTACTGATACATGCAGCTTTAAAATCTTGAGGAAGAACAGCATTGATTAGGTACCATCAACTTTTCAGAAAAGAGATTGCCTGATTTAAACCATGTCTTCTCTGCATTATTTCACCAATTAGTCTTAGATTTAACAAATTCCTCTTATTTTTTAAAATTATTTATTTTTTATTTATTTTTTTTTAGGCAAGGCAACCCTTGGTTGACCTCACAGATTGCAAGGACCTTGTCAGCTTACAATCCCTTATTTTTTATTTTTTACGCCTACAGCACCTGGTCTTCCCAGGTGGTCTCCCATCCAAGTACTAACCAGGCCCAATCTTGCTTAGCTTCTGAGATCAGATGGGATCGGGCATGTTCAGGGTGGCATGGGCGTAGACCAAATTCCTCTTTTAAAAAGCAAATACCCTCAGAAAAGATATCTGTAAATTATGTCTTAATGAGTAACTCCACTTTTCTTTTAATACCTATATGATCCCCTAGGCAAAAAGAAAACAAAGTCTAAAGAAAACAAATTGGGAGGATATCTGCAAAAACAAAAAAGCTTTAATATTAATCGTTTTAGAAAAACAATGAAAAATATTTGCACAAAGTATGCCAAGATATGTGTTCAAGAATATCCCCTGCAGCATATTTTCAAGTGTGAAATTACTAGGCAACTTGTCTATCAATAGGAGAAAAGTTAAGTAAATTACAGTACATCCATCTAAAGGAATGTCATCTGCATGGTGCACTTACAGACGCTTGTATGATGTGTTATCAAGTGAAAGAAAATTATGATATGATATGTTTAGTAAGATCTCACTTATTTTTTTTTAATTACGGGGTGGGAGAGGAGGAGGAGAGGAGGAGGAGAGGAGGAGAGGAGAGGAAAAAGACTAACTGGACAATTTAGCTGGGACTTCTACTAGTTGAGATACTATTTGCCATTGGTCTAGCAAAATCAGAGTCAGTTACTGTTCTTTGTATACAATAAACATGCACATTTAGAAAAATCCTTCAACATTATCCATCACAGAATTAGTATACTTAAAAGAAAAAGCATAAACTTTGTAATCCAGGGCCTTTCCCCACTTTCAGGGGGTGGAGAAAGATAAGTTCCACATCTCAGTTAGGTATCATACATTTCATAGCATTATTAGCAAATCCAGAGTGACAATTACAATCATCATTTTCATGTTTTTACACTTACCATCACTTAAAAACTTGGCGAAAATACTCAGAAGTCCACACATACTCTGCCATGTGGGAGAACTGGAAATCTTCAAATGAATTCTCTGGAGGCCTTGTGCTTTCTGTACTAACATTACTGAAACTCTCATGCCTACCAACAAGTCATTCATCAACTGCGTTTGAACAATATGATTCCCAGCAAATTTTCTACAGTGAAGAAAAGACATTATTACAAAAGAAAACTCAAAGAAAAATGTCAACATTTCTATCTCTCTCCAAAATAACACAATAAAGGGTCAAAATCAATTTTAGATTATAGTAGACATTTATGTATATTTCTTCTATTCCCATAAACATTACAATTATGTAGATATTTATTGGAAAGTTTCAGTACTCTTAACTTACCTCAACATTTCCCTCCTTCTCAGCCAATGACTAACCTCACTTCTCTTTTTTAGAGTAAAAATAACAAATCAAGAATGAATGGCACAATTTATCAACTTGAACACTCCCTCAACCTTGATACACTTTCTTAACCTGGCTTCCAAGATCCCATGCTCTCCTCGATTTTCTCCTACTTCACCATCGTTTCTTCTTAGACACCTTGGCTAGTTCATCCTCTTCTCCCTGACATCTTTATATTAAAGCTCTCCATGACTCAGTCCTCTTCTTTTGTCTATCTAATACCATTCCTTGATGCTGATCACATCTAGCTCATAAGCTTTTAATTAAAACCTATAGGGTGACAATTCTCAATTCTTATTTCAAGCCCTGACTTTTCTTTCCAGACTTGTATATGAAACTTCCTACTCAATATCTTCACTGGCATGTCTAAGAGACATCTCAAACCATGTGAACTTATCTTCAACTCCAAACCTGCGCCACCTGCTGGGATCTCTGTACTATGAAAACTTTGTAATCATCCTCGACTCTTCTCCTCCTCTTCCCTTCCTGTTGGTTCTTACTTCAAAAATATATCCAGAATTAGGCAATCTCTACTTTACTCCTGGCCTGAGCCACTCTCATCTCTCCTTTGGATTAGTACAACAGCCTCCTAGCTGGTCTCCCAGATTCTATCCCTGCTCCTCTAAGTCTATTCTCAACACGACAGGACACGGGGTGATGATATTAAAAAATAAGTCAGAGAAAACAGTTTGGGGGATCATCGAAAAGTTAAACAGAATTACCATATGATCCAGCATTCTACTCCCAGATATAAAAGAATTGAAAACAGGAACTCAAACAGATCTTTGTCTATTAATGTTTGTAACCGCATTATTCACATTAGCCGAAAGTAGAAACAACCCAAATATCCACTGACAGATGAACATATAAACAAATTGTGATATATACATACAATGGAATAGTATATAGCCATAAAAAGTAATAAAATTCTGATAGATGTTAAAATATAGATTAACCTTTAAAATACTGTAAGTGAAATAAGCCAGATATAGAGGACAAACACTGTATTCCACTTATTTGAGGTATCTAGAATATGCAAATTTCAAGAGAGGGAAAAAAAGGCAGTGAATTTTTTTTAGACACATTAAATTGGAGGCACCTGTAACACACCCAAGTTAAGGTGTCCAGAAAGCAACTGACTATACCAACCTACCACTCAGGAGAGAGCTCTAAGTTGGAGAGAAAAATCTGTGAATCATAAGTACAGAGATGTGGATGATATTAAGCAGTCAGAGCAAATAAAATTAAAAGGACAGAACCCACATTTAAGAGATGAGTAGAGAAAGAAGAGCCTAAAGGGAGACAGGGAAGAGCTCCCTCCTGGTAAGGCAAAAGATCTTGGGTTAAAGATGGCACATAGATATTACTTCTGCTTTCCCTCCAAATCTCCCTAAACTGACAGCCAAGGGATTTAAAACAAAGAAAGACATAAATACACAAGGGCAATAAACCGACAAGAAATAATAAAATTACAGAAGCTACAAAGCAGATGGATGAATGATAACTGACTTAACAGAATCAAGAAAGGTGACTACTAAGCCAGAGAACAAGCCTAGAAGCAACATGATACGCAGGCCCAAAAGGCTAAGAAATTGTGGGAACCAAGTACTCCTTGATGTGGAGGTAAATGCAGGACTGAAAACAGGAAGACTGGCTACCAGTCTGTTAAAATATAATAAAAACTCTGGATCACACCTCCAAGCCAGCAAACAACTAGTTTACTTCTAGAGAAGGTAAAACAGTAGGCGTCTGGACGGGAAGACAGCATGTACAGATAAGGCAATGCCATATTGCAAACAGGAGAATTAGGTAAAAATATGCAAAATAAATGCCAAATGCTGAGACTTCAGCTTTCTTACCTCACTCAGCAATCAGAATATTAAGACAATGGTTTGGCAGTTTCTTCCATGATGAATCCACTACGCACACAAAAAGACTAAAAGATATTGACATCAAGGGTTCCCTAAAGAAAGAGCCCAGCAAGACTAGCCTATAATAAAACCTGCAACAACCATGGCCATATGCTCAGAGATTCAAATCAACTCTCAGTGCGTCATTCTTAAATATGAGTGTTCGGCCAAGGATCACTAAACTTCTGAGGAAAGCTTCTAGCATCAAACACAATGACAAAAAGGAGCAAATGGGAAAACAGTAACTTGGAAGAAATAGACTATGTAAAGATTAAAAAAAAAAAAACTTAAGAAAACAAACAAAAAACTATCGTTAATATCCTCAAAGAGATAACAGAGCATACTTCGTCCACAAAATAAGAGGATGTTATAAAAAAGGAACACTTAGGTAGAGCAAAGAGCTCTTCCCATTCTCATCTATCCTCATAATAGCTTATTTGATTTTTTAAAAATTAAGTATTCAACCTCTAAAAAATAAATTTAAATAATCAGGTCTAACATTAATGGAGAGGAATAGAAAAGAGCACATTCTGGAACTTTTAAAAAATTTCCTTTGTACAAAGACAATGCACAACTGCAAGTGTGTACACACACATGCACAAGCATACACAAACATAACACTTGCCTATTTTCTTCTGAGATTTCAATTAAACTCCTCTGCAGAAAATGAAGTGCTGAAACAAAAAGAATATAATGACAAACTAGAATTTTAAAAACTGTAAATTTGAACTTCAGCACAAGAAAATATTTTAAATCACTGTTAACTAAAATGATACCACAGTATAGAAGCAGAAACTTAAAAGAAAGGAGCATGATGTATCTTAGTTATCTGCAGTACGCTACCCACTGCCAAGAAACTCAAAAGAACCAGTTCCAAAATGACTCGCACAAGCAGTCACCTCTCAGAATAAAACAAAATAACATGACTTACCATTTTTAAGAAGATTATTGACACTCGTTATACCTGTGGGGAAAAAAAATTAACACAGGTAAGGAGTTTCAGGACCAAAATTATTATCATTTAAAAACAATGATGTAATAACAGGTGTTAGGCAGAAAAAGTACTAGAAAAAAGCTGGCTTACCTAAGTTAAAGTTCTCCATACAGGAAGATATATTGTCAATCACTTTCCTATAAGAGTATAGGTCAGTAGTGTTCAATTCTTCATGAAGACGAGAAGTAAAACTTTGTATGGCTTCAGTTAAAAAAAATTCTGGTAGACAATCTAGTGAGCTAGAAAAAGAACCAAATATTAAAAATCTGAAAACCTTATAGTACAAGATATGTGGGGAAAGAGGAGAATCATTACGAATGAAAAATATTGAACTAGACCTTCAAGGTCTAGTTGATATAACCAGCTGATAACTTCAGACTATCCTCAAGAGAGTAGCCAGAGTGACATTACCAAAACACCATGTTATTACTCTGCCTAAAATCGTCCAAGAACGCCGCTCCCAGGCAAAGTAATAGCTAAAGTGCTTACGATGATTTACAAGACCCTGTGCAATCTGGCCCTACCATTAGCTCTCTGACCTCATCTTTGTTCACTTAGTTCTAGTTACATGGCCTTCCTCTGTTCAAACAACATTGCCAAAGCCTTTGCTCTTGCTATTTCCTCTATCTGAAACACTTTTCCCTCACATATACCCAATAATCATTCCCTCATCCTTTTCGGGTCAATCCCAAATATCACCCTGTTAAAGACATTTGAGCAAAGATACTTGAAGTGACCACTATATTTTAAAGTGTAACCCTCACCTCATCCTTGGGTCTCGCTTTCTCTCTTCTCTGCTTTAATTTTGTCCATAGCACTCATACCACCCAATTCTATGTATTTTGTTTATTTTGTGTATTTTCTATCTTCCTATTAACATGTAACCTCCATTCTAGACTGTGTTATTCACCATATCCCCAATACCTAGAAAATTACTTGACATATAGTAGGTGGTCAATAAAAATTTACTGAATGGCTAAATTAAATTTAATTTAATTTTTACCTCAATCTAAATCAAAACCAGTAGCTTTTTTTTTTTTTTAATTTGACTAAACAGTTTTAAAGTTTTTCTGGAAGAAAAAAATTAAAAATCAAAATATTCTGAAAAAGAGTCACTAGAGGGATGACTTGTTCTAGCATATCATTAAACCAAAAAATTATCAAACTATAGTAAATAAAAGTGTAGTGTTGGTATATAAACAAATAGTACCAAGCCTAAAACAAACCAGGGAAAGAATTTTAAATATTGGTTACATTTCATCAAATTGAACATTTATAATGTTCAACTTCCCTTCCCTTTTTTCCTTACCTTGCCAAGACTTTCTTCAAGGGATTCTTTACACTCAAAGAAAGATACATGCCTGCTAAAATATCCAAGCAACTTCTAATAGTAGGATCGTACGTGCCATTTTTATCTGCCTTTTCCAGTAAAGGCACAATCTATAATTCAAAAAATTCAAAGTCATAGTAATTTTTTCTAATATCAAGTACAGCAAAGTAACATGGATTCAAATAATCTTTTAATTCTCAACTATAACGTGAAATATTTTCCACACTGAATTGTTAGGGATATTGATTTAAACATGTATTTTAGTATTTATTAACCCTTTTAATGCATGCTCACAACTCCAACTTTACCCTCCAGACTCACTACAGACTTGTTTGTGGCTTAAGATACAGAAATTCTGTAACACTACTGAAAACTCAACAATACATTTAATTGCTTTCCCAAAAAAATATTATGCAAATTCAACTGGTAAATCCTAATACTGAAACACTAGTAAAGACAGCCTTTACATTTTAAATTAACTTTTTAATATGCTTGCTAAAAAGTTTTGAAAATTCAGATTAATAGAAATAATCTTTTAAAAGTTTATCTTTACAAAAAAAAGGTATGTACAATTATCTCATCCTATCTATTTATAGCTCCAAAGGTTGTGGAAGCCTGAATATGACTTCTATTGCTATTTTGAATTAAAAGATATACAATAAACAGGAAAAAAAAAAAAAAAACCTATTCTTTCATGATACATTGGTATTAAATAATTGGGAGCCAAAAATTATCAGTTAATTTAAAACATCCATAATAGCATTATAATCTTCAAAATGCATCCATGAATGTCGATTCTGCCTTACCTGTTTAACATAATGAATTTGTGATACTCCATCAGTGAGTTGTACGCAGTTTAACAGCAAAGAAGCTAGATTTTTCCCTTCCACATCAGCCAGAGCTACATGACACACACACACACAAAAAAATTTCTTCAGTAATTTAACAATATTGATATGAGTTTGCTTTTGATATACATTCTACAAAATTTCAATATTTATCAACCAAAAAACCAGGCAGAACTTAGACTGAGGTAGAATTTTTAGAAAACCATTTACATCCAAAACTGAACATAAAGACCATGGAAAAAATAAATAGGAAGAGTTTGAACATTCAGCTATGAAGTCCCAGATATAAGAATACTCTGTTTACAACCTAGAAAAGAAATAAACAAAGTCATAAATCACTTACATCTCAAAGTTTCAAGGTCCTGATGACAAATGGTCAATGCAATAACTTGCATTTCTTTCTTCTTCTTTACGACCATTTTAAATAGAACAGTAGTCCTGCCAGAAAGAAGAGTTTAAGGCATTGTCTAATGCAGGGTTCCTGAAACTCAGCACTACTGACATTTTGGGCCGTAATTCTTTGCTGTGGGGTACTGTTGTCCTGTGCACTGTAGGATGTTTAACACATCCCTGGCCTCTACCCACTAGATGCCAGTAGCATCCTCCTCCTGTCAAGTTGTGACAACCAAAAAAATTTTCCCCAAACATTGCTTAATGTTGCCTGAGGAGCAAAGTTGCCATAGGTTGAGAACCATTGGTCTAAGGATTTTTGCTTTGAAAAACATTTTTTGAGCTCAAGAAGAGTTACTATTGTCTAAAGTTACTTTTACCTACTAAACCCAGTCTTTGTATTCTAAAATACAGCAAACCTTCATTTTCATAATAACAAAAGAAACCAGCATAGTTTTTCCAAAAATAAAGTTTTTCTATCCTCAGTAACTTCTCAGACTGACAGATCAGGTATCATAACACACTGTACCTCGATTTCTGCAAAGTATTTGATAAAGCAAACTTTCACATACTATCCTTGTGAGTTTGCTTTTAGTTAACAGAGTTTGCTTTTAGTTGACAGGTTTGTTTTAGTTAACAGGGTTCATAATGAACTTAACTAATGTATTCAAAAACTACACACTAATAGTACCATGTCATCTGGAGACAAGTTGCTAGAGAAATGCCACACAGGGCTCTTTTCTCAGTTAGCATTTTTAGCAGTGTATATGATGCAGACATTAGGGGATATAACATAGTGAATTTATAAAAGACACAAAGCTTGGAGGACATGTTGGATGATGGAATCAGGATTAAAAAATAGTCCAATGAACTGGAATAACTTACCATAATGAAATAGAAATAAATGTAAAATGCTGCACTTAGATTAGAAAAATAAAGAAATAGAGGATGGGGAGAGAGAAGTAAAAAGTAGTTTGAAACAGCTCAATGTGTAAGCCAGTGGCACAACATGACTGCTAGAAAGCACATTAGAAGTTCAGAAGATTAAGGGAGTGCATGATCTCTTGGACATCCCACAGGTCAGATGACATGTGGAGCATTAGGTGCAGTGCTGGTGGTCATATCTTAAGGGTCCATAACAAATGATGGAGCTTCCAAGGAATGACCAAATTTCTGAAGGGCCTAGAAAGCACCTCCTCCACAGAACAGCTAAGTTAACAAAAGGTGTTTGACCTAGAGAAAAGAGGATAGGACTAGTGTCTTAAATAGCTGCTGAGCTGCTGGACTGTTTTAGAGAAAAAGGGAGAAGTCTTTTGTCTTGCTATAGGATTAGGAAAAAGTACAAGCTTCAGAGAGGCAGAGTCCAGCTCAATGCAAAGGAAGAACTACATGTTCCAACTATGGAATGAGTTGCCTTTTAAATAAACGATCTTCCAACACCAGGAATATCCAAAAAGAAGCTAAATGAACACTTTTCACCTGGACTCCCACGACAGACTCCTAACTGGTCTCCTCACTTCTACTCTTAATTCTGAAGAGTCCATTCTCGTCACAATTATCAAAGCAATCTTTTAAAAACGCTAATCAAATCTAATTACTCTCTTGGGCTTTCCAAGGACTTCTCATTACACTTAGACTAAAATCCAAACTTGAGACTTGGGCCTTCAAGACTCTAAATAATCTGGCTCTGACTTCTTCTGCACTTCATCTTAAATCAATCTCTTCACCATCTCAGGGCTCTACACTTCCTGATGCTCTTGTTCCCATAAAGGGGCTTTGCACTTCCCCATATTTCTGCCTATTAATGATCGTTCCACCAGATCTTTGCAAGCCTGACTTTCTCATCATCATTCAGGTCTCTTCTAGAATATCTCCTCCTAAGAGAAGCTTTCAGTGACCACTCTACATAAAATGCCACCACTCCTACTCACATATCCACCATCTGCATTACTTCACAGTACTTACTACTACCTGAAATTACATTGACTTGTTTATTTATACATTGTCTGTGTTCCTTAGTAGTAAGCTCCATGGAGGCAGCAAATTCAATTTTTTTTGCCTACTGTTTTCTCAATACCTCAAACAGTACCTGATGCATATTAGGTACTTTAATAAATATTAGGGGAATAAACGTATGAATTAACAAATATTTGTCAGATATGTTCTAGAAGGGATGTATGCCTTTAATGGCAGACAAGTAGACCTCCTGGTATCTAAAGTATATTCTATAAATAAGAAACAACCTAGCCCTGACACTATGGTCCATTTGCAAAATAAGATACCATTTAACAATGTCATGGAAAAATCACTTAACAGAAAATGGTAATAAAAATGGACACAGCTAAAAAAAAGAGAGAGAGAGAAACAGAAAAAAATGGACACAACTAGAATGGCATCGACAAGGGAAAGAATTTGAAAAGCTATATGATTAAATCTAGGGAATAACCGGGGATCGCTTCCTAGGGAAGTGACCACTATAAAGTTTAGAAGAGACAGATAACTGGGGAGACTATTCTCTGGTGAATGGTGAGCAAATTTGCATTAGGATTTGATCTTGGAAACTTCGAGATTA